TATTTCATGTTTTTCACTTTGCTTGCCTAAACAACTTGCTAATTAGAGTGTATGATATGTTTTACTTGGAATCTTTTTTTAAACCCAGGAAAGTCATCTTAGCCTAGCAAAAGACTAGTATCTGTATGGCTCTATCCTTTTTAAGGCAGGCTGGCCTGTTCAAGTGTTTCCATATTGGGAATCTTGTTGCTGTGCTCGTACTCTGATTTATAGTTCTCAGATAAATTGCGGATGAATCAGATGTATCAGGAAAATAATTTCTTGTGCTATTTCATTGAGGGCAGGAAGGAAAATGAATTACAGAAGTTTAACCTCTGCACAGAAGAGGTTTTCTTTGCTGACCTTGTCACTGTGAGGTTAACTTCAAGCATAGAGCATCAGCATTTGTCTAACTTCTACATGTTTCTATCCTGATGTGAATGTATGTAAGTCACAGAAATACCTAATTCTGATGTTGAATCTTCCTAAATTCTTGATCTTAACACTGCTTTGTTTTCAGGAGGTTCTGTCTTTCATTCTGTGGTGTTTTAAAGGTGTCTACTGTTACAGGCTTTAAATGTAATCTATGTGTATTTTCTGTAGGCTGTAGGAGATTTTGCTATAATTCTAATGTCATTGTGTTTGTTTTTACAACATTTCTGTCAGACTTGGGCTTAGCCAATCCCTCTAAGGTGAAGACGTAAGATTCTAGTATTATTAATGCCTCATTTCATCTAGTTAATGATCTTTTCAAGTATTCCATCTTCTTTTTGTGATTTACTTGCAATGTCAAATAAAGGTCTTACTTAAGCTTAAAATGAAATAATAAAAATCTTTATTTGAATACAGTCAAGACAAATGACTCTAGTTGAGATTCTGATGTTAAACAGGTACAGTTCTTAACAGCATCGCATATAAAATCTGGATAAGTTCTTTGAACACTGAAATCTTGACAGATGTGTTCCTTTCCTCTCTGTGTTACAATAAAACAACTAACAACTCGGAAAGTATTGACAGATAATAAGCTGTGTTGGCAAGTCTACTGTTTTATTCCTTGTCCAATATCAGCTGTGGCTATTATTAAACTATAAATGAATGTGTGCATTAAATGTGTTCAAAACCTATATGTTTATAAACAAACACATTTTCTGTCCCAAAGTGATGTTTTCTTGCTTTCTTGTGTACTGATGCCTAGATAGGGCATTCCTTTATCTTCAAAACAACATCTGTCAAACTGATTTTCATCAGATTAAGTAGATCCTCAAAGCAACCACTGCAGCTTATGAAATAATAAAAATGTAGGTTGTGCTTTATTTATAACGCCAACAGAATTTGAAGTACTTAATAATATTTTACAAATGTGACAATAATAGCCTGTGCACATTCTCTATCCTCATATCTATTTTTGGTAGGCTGTTTGGAGTGATAGTGAGTGATGTTGAAATTCCACAACTGCAATAGATGTCCTGGAGTGTGATTATGAAATTATGGTCCTGGCAGCTAATCTGTGTCTGACAAAGCCAATGATTTGAGGCTCTGGCAGTAGAGATTGAATTTATTGCAAAGAAGTTCATCTGTAAAAAGATTTCCCTCATTAAAAATGAAATTGAAGCTCGAATCAGTGACTGATTATCCAGGCCGTTCTTTGATCAGTTGGATTCCTCATTAGTATAGATGTGTGATGAGATATGCTGTGGTCTGATTCTGGTTCTGTGAATCATCCAAGATAATCAATAATATTAAAATTTTAAAGATTTTTCTGAGACACTGTAATCTAATTGAAATAAGAAAATGCCAGTGGCCTTAACGTAGAACATAAATAGAGATATGCTCAATCATTGATGTTTCTGGCCTGCCTGGTGTCTTTTTAGCTGCTAGGGGATAATTAAGATATGAAAATGAATGTAATGGTCAGATGATGTTTATTCCGGAGGAGTGAAGTGTTCACCTGTTTGCCTTTGTGATCCTCTCAGAGAGGATGCCTCATTACAGTATTCATTGAGCATGGTTACTCGGGTCAACCAGAAAAGAAAAACAGAAATGCTTGAAGTGGAAGTCTAACATTCTTCAGTCTGAAAGCTGCAGACCCAGCAAGAATCTGATCAGAAAGCCAGGAAGAGGACAAACAAGGGTGGAAATTGTAGAAAGGCTTGGGTTGGAAGGGACTTCAGGGGTCATCAAATTTCACCCATCTTGCTACAGCCAGGGTTGCCAGCCACTAGGTCAAGTACTTGATCAGATTGCCCAGGGTCTCATCTAACCCAGCCTTAAACACTTCCAGGGATGGGGCATCCACAGTCTCTCTAGCAACCTGTTCCAGCATTTCAGCACTCAGTAAAAAAACTTCCCCATTGTCCTGTCACTATCTACCGTGTCAAAAGCTGATTGCCTTCTGTTCATAAACTCCCTTTAAATATTTGGAGTGAGTCTCCCTTCAGCCCTCTCTTTTTCCGTCTGAACAACTCCAGTTCCTTCAGCCTGTCTTGATACGGGAGGTGCTCCAGCCCTTGGATCATCTTCGTGGCCCTCCTCAGGACCTTCTGCAACAGCTCCACATCTTTCCTGTGTTGGAGACCCCAGAGCTGGATATACTCCAGCTAGGACCTCACGAGGGCAGAGGAGAGGGGGATAAGCACTTCCCTGACCCTGCTGACCACCCCTCTTCTGATGGAACTCAGGGCGCCACTGGCTATCCGAATTGAAGAGCACACTGCTGGCTCACGTTAAGTTCTTCATCAACCAGAATCACCTAACTCCTTTTCAGGAGTTCTTCTCCCAGTTTGTATACGTATCTGGGATTGCCTTGACCCAAGTGCAAAACCTTGCACTGTACTTTGTTGAACCTCATTAGGAAATGAAGGTCAAATTTGCTCCAGGCAAATCTGGATGTAGATACTCTGGTTTCCAAGTAGGTTGATTATACCCTTTTTGTCAGCATATTGCCCTGTGCTGTCCTGAAACGTTCTGTGTTAACTCTGGGACAAGTTTAGTGTGAGGCATTTTGGTGGATCTGCTTACTATCTTATAAGAGAATGCAATTAAAGACAGTCCTGGAATCAATTGTATACAAACATGTTTAAATAGGTTAGGGTTAAATATGGTAGAGTTCTAGTTAAATTCTTCATATCTAAGGAAAATAGTTTTTACCAGGAAAATGGCATTACTGATTTTTGTCATCTTTATAGAGATATGCCAACTACATCTGCTGTAGTACCTGAAACATAGAACTCTGACAGGCTTTTATTTGTACTTACAATGAAAATGATCCCTAAAGGGCCTTCAGCCTTGTGCCTTAGACAAAAGAATATACAAGTAAGTGAAAAATATGTGCAGAAACACACCAGGTATTCTAACTCTATCCAACTTACTGCATACCCAGGGAACTTACCACTTGTAAGCTCAGGTCCTTTGATTAATAACAACTTGGCATTTCTAAATAGGAGACCAAAGTTCCTGAGAAGACTTAATATTTGCAGTGGGAAAAGTTCCTTGAAAAACCCTTTTTGCTACAGCCGTTACACTTCTAGGTTTTATTTTTGGCCAAAAGCATGGAACATTTAATTCGTATGGAACTTAGAGCAGATAATACAGCGTGGTGGTAGACAGACAAGCCATAACACATTCCGCATACACAGGCTTCTTTGTTATTTTTAGGAAACGTTGATTTGAATTTCAGGCAGCACACAGGCATAGTGAGCGCTGCACTATTATTGTAAGAACATAGGAAAAATCCATCTGATCTGAATTTCTCACTATCCCATATTGTTAATAATGCGATGCCAAACTAATAACTATTCCTCTGAGTGTGATTAAAGCCAGATCCCACGTATAATTGAAGAACAACTTGCTACTTGTTTTTTCTCCATTTCTTGTTCATTTCCTATATTATATCATTGTGTTAGTTTATGAATGGAACCAGCAGCCACTGCAGTACATCTGTATTTTCTCAGAGTTGTTTCTTTCAGTTTATTATTTACTTTACATCCAGACTGTAATGTACTAATTGGCTCAGCAAAATCGGGATAAAATGAAAGCATTTTGCTATTGATCTTTGCTGGTTAATAGTTTATACTGGCAGAAAATGAGATCAAACAAGTGCTAATACAGCTATCAAAATACTTTTTCTCATCACAGGAAATACTACTTAAATGGAAGTATTTTAAAGCAGAAATTCCTTCCTGTTTTCTCTCCTTCTAATCACTTCTTGCTAACTTTCTAAAATTTGAAGAGGAGCAATGATTATTAAAGAAGTAGGCTGTTCAGAATCTCTGGCAGCGCCATGACTTAATCAGGAGACCTATAGGCCAGAGAATCTAATTCCATGCGTTGCCCAAGCTTCAGAATCAAATTCTACTGTTGAATATGGTTCTGTTGATGCAAATGGAGGTCTGCAAATGAAAAAGTGGGGCAGACTTTTTTCTTTTTTTTTTTTTTTTTTTAACATTTGCTTTATTACAGACATTGTTCTTCTTCTGTGTAAGAGAGTAGATAAATATCTGCATCAAAGTCTGCAATTTAAAGTACTGGGTTTTGGTTTTTTTAATAAGACTTGGAATCCTATTTCATTTTCCATGACAGCAGTAGGTTTACTCCAGCTACAGTTTTCATTGTTTCTTACAATAGAGACATACTGAGTCTAAAGTATACTGCTGGCAGCCTGTATATAGAATTTGAGGATTAATAGACCAATGCAAACAAACCAAGACTCTTAAGATTAAGAAAGTAGCACAGAGCATTTGGACTAGCCTTTTACTTCTGTCAATTAACACATAGTAATAGCAGCCCAAACCTGCAGGTCTGTATCACTGTTCTTGGCTGCAGAAAGTGGTAGTAAAACAAAAGTCATTTGAAGAGCAAATTTATCTTTTTTTTTTTTTTTAAACATTAATTCCAAGAATGCCTTTTATATATATATATATATATATATATATATATATATATATATATTATACATGTGATGTGCTTCTCATTTTTACCTTCTGAGAATTTTGTACAATTCATCCCTCTTATTTTTTTTTCAGCCCACCTAAACCAACCGTGTTCATCTCTGGTGTCATAGCAAGGGTAAGATTACCATTAAATTTCTTTTAACCATAGAAATATGATTGTTGGCTTTTCGGAATAATCACTGATCAGAGCAAAATTAATCTTTTTCCATTCCCCTCTCTCTTTTATGAGAAAAAGTCTTTATGTTTTGTGTATTTGTTTATGTCCCTTTGAGCATTCTTTTCAGCTTTTTTGTGTGTGTGAAATTGAAATTATTTATTGAAAAGGCTTCTGCCATTTTTCTTTGAATTTTAGCACTTAAAGCTTATTTGATCTTCTTTTCATATCTAAGCTAGATATTACAGCATTGATTTTCTTTGAAAGCAGTTACATTTAAATCTGCTCTATAGTGTGATCTGTAACAGCACTTCTGGCAGTGATGGTATGTGTTTGAAGGCATTATGCTGCCATGTGTGCCTTGGGGTACATAGAATTGCAACAACAAGCAAGACTTGGAAATCCGTAAGCTAAATCACTAATATTAACTGTTAATTTTCTGATCAGTAATTCCTTCCTTGTGCATTGTGACGGGCCTTCAGTCATGATGGTTATCACTGGGGTGCATAATATGGTTCACCTGTCTACTCAGAAGTTGTAGGAGTTGTTTTTACATAATCTGTCTGCAACAACAGGGTGCAAGGTGCCAGAGAAATATGTAAGAGACAAACATCAGCATCAAAGAGCAAGAAGGTAGAAAGCGTCAAGTCTGACAAGAAGAGATGTTTGAAAATTAGAAACAGCTTGAAGTAGTCTACAAACTGAAAAACGTGTTAAGTGCTAACCTGGTGATCAAGATTTTAAAAAAAATGCTGTCAGAATGGAATGGAGGAAGTTGAAGTAGGTTGAGGTGGGATCAGGTGAGAAACAAGCAGTCTGAGGCATCTGCTTTGTACAAAATCTTTGTAACATTGCCACCCTCTGAACAAGTGGAATACAGGCTGTTCTGCCTTGTGTCTGTCCCAGCTTCTTGTGGTGCTGTTCTCTGTCATCAAGGACTGGTAGTAGTTGTTTCCCACTACTACTTGAAAAATCAAAGAGTACTAACCCTAGAAAAGCTATTCTAAGTCAGTTATAGGTATTACATGTGAACTGATACTCTAGAACAGTATCAACAGATTAGCAGACCTTGTTACAAGAGGAAGTTAAAAGGTAGGCAGCTTGAAGATTTGAGTCAGAGTAGTTTTAGATAGTGCCTTTCTTCCTGCAGAACTAGTGTTACTGCAGTTGGTTTTTCTGTGCAGGTAGATTTTCAGGCTGCCTCAAATTATTTGTAAAATAGTTCCTTTGTTTTATGGCTTTGTGAAAACAAATAAATTAAGTAAACCTGACTATACAGAGCCATTGGCAGTGACTTGACACAAGGGGCTATTCAGTGGTGAAGATATAAAGTTCATTTTTTTTCCCCTTGAGTCACTCTAAGATACTGCATTCTTAGGTGCTGCGTATAACTGGAAGAAGTTAGATTTGTGCAAATGAAGTACTGAAGTTGGCCGCAAGAAGGGCAAGATAATACATGTTTGGCAGGACTTCAGAGCAATATGCAGCACTGTTTTTTCATATTCTCTTCACGCTTTAAAAACCTTATATCCACTTGAACTAGAACGTACTTAATACTTCTTAAACTTTTCCCAATGTGTTTTTCAAACAGGGTGATAAGGACTTCCCTCCAGCAGCTGCTCAGGTGGCTCATCAGAAACCACATCCTTCAGTGGAAAAGCTTCCTCACCCTCAACATGTCAAACAGCACATCCACCAACCTCGCAAGTGAGCTCACCACAAAAATCTCAGCCAAACTGCCATCAGTGAATATGTTTTTGAGAGAAGTTCTTGACCCTTCATGGTTCACACAATCAGATCAATAATATTGACTTCTAAAATCTTACCCAGTTCTGTTTTTTTACTTTAATTCCCAAGGGTTAGGAAGAACAAAAACGTTATTGAGTTGATGCACCGAATGGAAAGTTTTCCCTTTTCTATTAAGTATTTGCTGATCAGGGGTGGTTTTTTGATAAGACTGTCTGGTTGACAACATTATGATTAGTGAGCTTAAAACTTGTGCTTTTAGTTGTGGCATTGCAATAGCCAATAGTTAATGTAGCTTTTATGCTAAACCAGTAGAGAACATCGCCTTTGTACTGGTACTTTTGTTATGTGGGAGTTTGTTGTGTTGAGGCAAATTAGTGATTGTCTTGAATACAGTCTTGCAGTCTTCAGTACCCTGAGATGTTAGATCACAAGTGGGTAGAAATCCAGCTGAATCTTTTTTACACCCCTTTGCACTCCTAGTCTTGATGCAGTTCTTTTGTGCAAGCTCTGTGTGGGTGCAAAGAAGTAGTCAAGAGTTACAAGCACGCTGCTGCTGTGACCTCACAGGCCTGGTTTTTTTTTTGTTTTTTTTTTTTGTTTTTGAGGTGATGATTTCTCAAATCCAGCAACAAGTTGAAGGAATTCAGGACCTTCAAGAACTGAACTTAAACTGGAAGAAAATCTGTTTTCTTTTTTAAATTACACTATTACTGTGTTTAACTTCATGAGCTAATCTCCGTTATGCATCTTTTTAAAAAAATATTATTAATGAAAGGAATAAAAGTTACTTTTCAGACAGAGCAATCGGATTAGGTTAGGCCACATAGTTAAATATGTCAATTACACAGTTTGAAATTAAAAAAAAAAAAAAAAAAAAGCACAAGCTCTAGCCAATTCCTTCTTCATCTCTATAAAACCCAGGAAAGTCATTTTTAAACATTCCACCTACATTTTAAAAATGTACTTCTGTTTTTAACTGACTAGTACAGGTTTTAATGCCCTGTTGAGTTTATAAGACTTCCAGCAGTCTCAAAAAAGTGAGTACAGAAGCAAAACACTGATATACAGCCCATGTCACAAGTGGAATAACTTGTGTCACGTGTGTGAAAGGGACCTGGTATGGCCATCTATATTAGGCTTGAAATGCAAAGGGTGTATTGCAAAAGACAGGCACAGATGTATTTATTCTGCACCAAGGAGGGGGACCTATGATTTGTGTATGAAGTCCTTATTTTCAGTTTAATTAGATAACTGTACTTGCCTTAAGGAGCGAGTGTTGTTTATAAGAATTAGTCTGCATTAGAATATGCATTTTTTATGAAATACTCTTTTTTGTTCCTGATGTCGGTACTTCTGAGGCCTTGTTCTTAGCTGCTTATGAGCGTACATGTGATTCATACATGAGTGATTTATCCTTGAAGGTAGAACTGTTGAACCTCATGAAACATATTTATGAGCTAAATCACCAGCAGATTCAGAACAGAGAGACTACAGTCTCATGGACAGTGCAGCCAGTAGTTGTCAGTGTGCTGTGTCAGCCCATCAGCTGGTGCTCATGGTCACCTGATGCTGGTAGCTGCTGGTTTAAGAATGGTGGCATTCAGCTCTCCTGTTTTTATGTCTACATCTCAAGTAGCATGTAGACTCTAACTGTAGTCAAAACAGTTAATAGAGCACGTTTCAAGACAATCTGAATTGCTCTTGACTCCATTCATTGACTGTAGATGAAAACTAAAAATACTTCAGAATAGTTGCACACCATTTGGTGGGCTTGGACAGCTCTATTCTGTGTGTTTCTACCTTACACAAGCAACACCACGTTTCCAGCTTTTGAGTTAGAAAGAACTCTTGGCTGTTAATGCAATATATACAGCATTTATAGACAGTATCAGAAATTTGTCTTTGATTGCTTAGATGGGTATATAAGTTTGTACAATGAAATAAGATCCTCAGGATATCTTTAGTCACTTTTAGACTGCGGGATTTGCTATATGACTAGAAAATGTCTCTGTATGAAAGCATATTATGTATGGTTGGAAGATATCCATGTTCATGCATAGCTGTCCTTACCAATGCATTATCTTGCTGAAAATAAAGAATCATAATCAGTCATCTGGATTGTCTGATGATATTAATACTTTTAAGTATAATCACAGTCACATACAAGCACAGCCTATGTTCAGATGTTACATGAAACAATTGCAAAAGAATTGTCCTGAAATTGCCAATGTGGCAGTAACACAGCAATAAAGCCTGAGATTGTATGTTGGGTTAATTTTTCTGTAAGTACAAAACAAACCAGCAGGGGAGCTTCAGGGAGATTTTATTACAGAATGCCACACTTAATAGGTAGTGAAAATTACTAGGAAATTTTATGACACGGTGATAAAATTTTTGGGGTTCTGTCAATTGGAAGGTGAGTTGCTATGAAGTCAGAAAGCTCCACTAGGTCTAGGTGAAAATATAGAATCCAAAGCAGTACAGTAAGGAAAATGAGATTTTCACATTTACTGCTGGTCTTTGAGCTCTTGTCTTTCAAAAAAGAAAATTTTGTAACTGAATTAACAAGCACCTCATAGCACAACAGGTAGCACTGCGTAACGCAGAAAACTTGAAATAAATGACCACAGGGCTTTGGGAAGCTCTCTGATACTTTTAGCATTCCATGTTCAGTGTATATAATAAACATACATGATGCCTCAGTAAATACAACAGATTACTGCCCTGCAAGTGTTGCTTTGTTTCATCCTTACTCTCAGCAGTCATGTGACAATGCACTACATTATTCAAAAACTTATCTTTCATTAAAACTTTGAGAAAATGCATGAATGCTGCATGAATGCAATGTCCAGCATTGTCTGCCCATAGCTATTTCAAGCCCTGTCTTCTGCAGTGTAATGCTCTAATGATATAACATGATGAAAAGTACAGCAATAACAGCAGAGTGGCACAATCCTAGGCTACAGCAAACGTGAACAAATCCAAACACGCACAGAAACAAAAAAGAAAAACAGCTTACCTTTGGAAAGCCTCTGGTAGGCAGGGATCTCCAGTGAGAGACTTTGGCCTCAGCTGCCAACCCTTAAATGAGGTCTGGGAAGGGTTAGACCCTGGCTCCACCCTTTCTGGTCATTAAGCACATTGCATGCAGCTGAGCTCCTCTGAGCTGGCCATGCCTTCCCACCAGGTGCTCAATCACTGGTTCAGGCCATGACTTAGCATTTCTGCTGCATGCAGTTATTACTAATTAGTTTATTTACTTCTCCTTTCAATAGTATGATTTTTCTGTTTCTCACTGGATGGCCTGAAACAGAAGTCTTGTGCTTTTAGTTGTGGTACAATGCTCACCACATGCTGCTGGCTCTTCAGTGAAAATATTCAGATCAGTCTGTTTCATACAAAGGTGAAGGGGGTGGTTTGGACGTAGTGTTAGAATAACACATTCAGAATATTCACCATCTTCACAGAGGAGGAAGGTTACGGGTATTGTCAACAACTTCTTGTGTCCTCTTCAGATTTCAATCTAGCAAATTTCAAATGAGATGTAAGTCTAGGCCAATGCCCTTTAGGATTAGGATATGTTCATTGCATTTGTGAAAATGTGGGGATGTCCATAACAGCACATAACTGTTACAGCAGGAATAGATGCTCCAACTATGTAAAGAAGAGCATTTCAGTTTGAGTTAAAGTTCTGTGCACGCAAACCTCCTCCCTCATAAGAGAAAGACGCTGAAATGTGGTTTATGCACAAGGGGGTCGCAGCCAACATTGTCTGTAAAAGAGGAATCCATGTTGCGTTGCCTGGAGGAGGCTAGAAGAAAAGGGCTAGAAGAAAAGAGAATGAATCAGGTCTACAGTGATAAACCATCATCAGACCTCAACAGTGGGGGTAAAATAATACACATTGTCGCTACAGTCTTGGTGAGTGTGGGTATGTTTGTATAACATGTAATTATTACCAGTGTTTAACTTGAAATCCTAATGAATTTTTTTTTCTCTCTCGAAATTTCTTTGTCACACCTCTGGCACATACAAGTTCTGTCTTAGGAAGATGGAAGTTTGTATTTTGCTTGTTACTGTGTTCTTGGGTCTCCTTCAAGAACGTGTGTTTGTTGGTTTTCCTCATCCTGCGTCAGAAAAAAACAGTATTCACAGAATGTCTCTTTCTTTGAGTCTTTTTCATAAAATCTTAGCACGCGTATTTACACAGGAAACCTCCAGGGAGAGATGGAACGCATTGTATTTTACAAAGCACTCCATGAATGAAGACTGAGTTTTGTTACAAAGGCTGTTCCCTTTTCTTTCAGGCTGCTGATCTCAGGTGCCAACAGGAATACCAATTTCTGAGAACATACTGCTTGGAGCTGGCAGGCATGCATGGATGCTGGCAATTCTTTTTGAAAATGTGCTCCCTACCCGGCCAGGCTGGGACAACTCTCAAACACAAACAGTAAGCCCATTGCAAGCATAAATCTTGCAAGTGACCTTGAAAGGACTCTTGCAATGTAATCTCTGCTGCCCAGCTTGTGATGGAGTTATTTTTAGAAAATTCTGGTGGCCTGCATTCTATAGGTCATTCCTCAGCTTCAGGAAAGAAAAGCATTTGTAATCCACAGTGGTTTTAAGGATAGTAAAAATTGTTCAGCTGTTAATGAGCTGTGAGCTTTCTCCAGCCGGTAGTGAGGACACGTGTATTACCTTGGTTACGTTTTCAACTTGTGCCTAAAGCTAGTTCATTAAGGTGGATTTTGTCCTCCAGTCTGTCTGACACACGGCGTGTTGTGAAAGTGGGTAAAATAACATCAAACCATTTTTGGTACAGACTGTCTCAGTGTCAGCAAATGCCTGTTGCTGTGTTCAGGACAGTGAGGTCACTTTCATACAAAGGAACAAATGCTTTGGAAAGCATAACAGCTGACATGGCTTCAGGTCTAGCAGTGGATTTGGAGGTGTTCTATGAAACAGCCCTTAGAAGATCATTGGAGAAAAGAAACTGAGTATCACCTTTCAGAACCAGTACTGACCATCGTCTGTCAGAGCTCAGTGCACTCAGTTTGCACTGCTTTAATTTTAGAGGGCACAATTCGTTGATGTGTTAATCTACACGGCCTTGAATCTTTTTGCATGGGAGAACTTTGGATGAAGAAAATCTACGAATGCAAAACAAATAAATTCTCTCTGCTGCAAAAGCCAGCACTGGGTGCATTTGTATATTGGCTGTGGAATTGAGACTTACTTCAGTTGAAGGGAGATCTAGTTAATATTCTAGTATGTGTGTGTACCTACAATGAAAGACAGTAGTCAGTTTTAGAACCGAAGATCTCATGTTTTATTCATCCAAGGAGTATTAAGCAATGTGAGATCAGATTTCTTGGAACACATAGTTGGGATGAACACTTTTAACATCCTTTTTGCAGGTATCTTTTCACTGCTTTAAATGTGAATTGCTAATTAAAAAAAAAACGACATTGGAAGCTGATTCCTTACGTAATTCCTATTCTCTGCATAAAATATAAGGAAGATCCAATGCAAGAATTCTTTTCCAGGGCCTGATTTATCAACCAGAACAGAATAAACATCAGCCCACTTCTGATGTGACAGCTGTGACAGCTGGAGGTGCCGGGTACGGAAGGCTGAAACCTTAAACAAGCCTTTCAGTTCAGCTTATTATGAGGACATTTGTTAAGCACACAGCCTTGCTTTTCACTGTGCCAAATAGCTCCTAAAACGCACATGCTGGAAACTTAAGCTTTGTAGTACAAGCACTCTACTTCACATACTAATTAATAGCTGATTCACCATTAGCCAATTGTTTCCAAGATAAATATTTATGGCAAGTTTAAAGTGTGATCTGACCATTCATTGTGACTCGTAATATTCCTCTCTCCTGGATTTACACATTTAGTTGTTTGCGGAATGCAGCCCTTTCCCAGCTGCCATTCTGCACAGTGTGTTTTGTTTTGTTCTTTGGTGGTCAGCGCTTTCTGACAGGTGTGACTTTGTTCAAGGGGAGAGGAGTGAAAGGCACAATCCTCTGCCAACCTCCGGAGCTGCAAACATAAGAACAGCATCTAAGCAGATCCTTCCTGAGAGACTGATCTCACTTCTGAGCCGAACCAATCCTGGGGGCCGGGCAGGCTGCAGTGCATGACACGTGGGCCTGCCCCATCCATGGGCAGTTCTCAGGGCCAGGCCATCACTCTGGCATCTTGGGCGGGAGCTTCTGGCAAGGGCAGAAGTGGTGAAAAGGAGCCTTCAGGTGTGGGGTGTTGGTGATGGCCAGCGGCACCAGCCCTGAGCACAGAGGCTGTCCAGGCTTTGTGTGTGCAGCTGACAGGAGAGGGGGACACAAGTGCTTGGCTCCAGACCTCAGCCTGTGGGTTGCACACCTCACAGAATCATAGAATTGCTCAGGTTGGAAAAGACCTTCAAGATCATCAAGTCCAACTGCAACCCAACCATACCACCCTAACTCTAACAACTCTCTGCAAGAACATGTCCCTGAGCACCACATCCAAATGGTGACTCTGTCTTCTGGTGATGTTTGTGAATGACCATAAGTAAAAGCATGTGTGTCCCTCAAGAGGCAGCACTGGCAGCAGTGCTTAGGGCATGACATTGGGGTATGGAATGGGATTTTAAGGGATCTGAATTCCTAGCCCATTTCAGAGGAAGCTTTTGCTGTCTTTCATGAAAGCTGATTGCTTACCAGTAAAATGCGCACAGTTGTTGTAAAAATTTAATAGAATTTGCCTGTGAAAACAGATGTGGAAATGCCTTTAAATAGCTCCGTGCCCTGACAGCATCCCAGCATTCGCTGCCTAACTCAATAGGTTTTCTCAAGGGAAAAATGCCTGTATAATTAACGCTAGCAGAAACACTTTGCAAGTCATCCTAGGGAAGGTGTGAGCAGCTCCTAAGTGACTGTGCAAAGACCTTGCTCCAAAAGTGTGGGTGCAGCTCAGTGGGAAAGAAGTGCAGCTTCCCCTCCTTTCCAACATGGTGTGCTTCTTGATTTTGTTTTGCAATTGTGAGCAGTGCCACCAGCGCCTTGAGAGAAGAGTTTTGTGGGCTGCCTGAAACACCATTTCTGAAAGAAAAGAGAGACTCTT